TCAAAGCTGACGGTTAATAACAAAACACGTGCTGCCAAAAATTCCGTAATATCAACATCTCTCATTCCCATTCTATGCAACAGCACATCACTTACAACGCCTGTGGTTAGCGAAATCTAAGTGCATGCAATTTTTTAATTATAGAATTAGCGCTTATGCTACATGACAAAAATGCCCGCATGATATGTGTCCTCTGGCACAGTAACGCACGTGTAGTGTTGCTTCAATGGCACATTGTTTCTCGGCTTGTCAATTTTATAACGACAACTGAGGTAGCATTACGACAACTGCACTTTCTTTTTCTGCGCCAACATGGCACTTGTGAATAATCTACCCACATTCGTTAAAGCGAGGTAATCACCTGAAGACATGCACTCGTGATGATTCTTAACTACTCTTCAAAAAACAAACTGATGTTACCAAAAACGGGCGGACTTTCGGCGTATCGTCAGGGGTGGGTGCTCATGCCAAAATAGAACCAAATGATTTGTTCACGATTATGGATTTACGTTGAACCTAAATAGTCACAGCAAAGACACTGAAGAATCATTTTAAACACGAGTGCACGCACTTAAAGGGACACTAAAGGCAAATATTAAGTCAATGTTAATTGCTGAAATCGTCACAGTACTGTGTTCTCACATGGCCAAATATTGTGCACAATAGGTGATAGCTGCACCCGGCGGCTTGTCGTTTTTGGAGCTCGCCTAAATGGAAACTTAAATTCATCAGTAATGAAGAGCCTGTAATTAATTGTCTGTCGTAAGCTACCACAAACGGTGTGCCTTGTTATGACTAGTAACAGGCCCCCAGCAATACGTTACATGAAAAAAAAAAAACTGGAAACCAAAATTTTTGTGTCAGTAATAGTACTGACACAATGCTGACTTAAAATTTTAATGTATTTGGCTTGTTACCCTAATAAAAACACCATTGCCAACGAACAATGAAGCGGTACCATGGTTCTGGTTTTCCTTGTCTATGTGACTTGAAACACTTGGAGTACATTTATTATTTTTCATACTCCTGGGTAATTTATCTTTGAAATGTTTATTCTGAATTTTTCGTTTTGAATATTTTTGTATATATAGCATCTTTTATTGCACTGTTTACCAGCTGGCAACCAAATTTTGCACACCTTTCGCATTTTCATTCATTCTGAAATATTTTTGTTGCTCTACAACATAAATATTTTAGAAAGAGCATTTCATTTCGCACAATTTGGTATGCTTCATTGGGTGCTAGAGCACTTTTCAAAACTGGCTAAAGCTATCTTCCCGAGACATATTAAAAGTTAACCATTTTTGCGCGGTAACAAAAGAGTTATGCGTAACCGACTGGATTCCCAGAGAAGGCAAAAGAGCGAGGGGGAGACCGAAAGTTACCTGGGCCGATGAGGTTAAAATGTTTGCTAGTATAACATGTCAGCAGAAAGCACAAGACCTGGTTGATTGGCAGAAAATGGGAGAGGCCTTTGCCCTGCAGTGGGCATAGTCAGGCTGATGATGATGTTTGCTTATGGCTCAGGTGGGCAGAGAGCGTTAATAGTGCATATCACAGAAATGAAAAATGTCTCTTTTGGGGTGTCTCAAAATTGTGCAAGTACACTTTTAATATCTACCGACTTATTAACAGCAGCAACGGAAAACGGAACTCTTTTGCCCCAGCATGAGATGAATGTTTAATTATATATGGTCATATGGTACGAATGGAGGCAATTTGATTTTGAAGAGCACACTGGGACCCCGTGAAATACTCGGCCTGCTCGTGAACAAATACTATCGGGTAACTGCAAATACCAGTGACTTCACTGGCCTCCTGTTGCCATGTTGTCAGCGCTGGTGTCTACTCCACTGTATTGAGGGCTGCTAGTGCACTTTTTCTCTATCACATTGTGTTGCTTGTTTAGTGCAGTGATTCCTGGAAGTGTGTAAGAATCGGTTAAAAAAGCCCGATTCACATAGTAAATCTTGCCGCTGGCTGCTTTTTTCTTCTTGCTGTTGTCCAACCGAGACGACGATTTCCATGAGCCCTGGAGCAGCCGCGGTATTAGGTCCACTGAAATATTTTAGCTTTAATCATTTATAAAGTAGCAGGTTGAAAAAGGATGAAGGAAGTAGAGGTATTGTAACATGCAAGTAGCGTGATACACAGAGGGGGTCAAAAGTTCTCAGGCCGTAATTTCATGTACTTCTTTCTTTGGAAGCGTGGCCGGCGAACTTTTGATTAACTTTGTACATTTTATACCCCTGTCACACGGCAGACCCAATGCCATTTACAACAAATCACATTAAGCGGACCGAGTGCCAATTTACCTGCGTGCTGTTATACGACGAAAATAAATGTCATCTTGAAATAATGGTCATGACCTTATCCCTTTTGAGCTGTGGATTTTGGAACAAATAAAGATGTGCTGAGACTTGCATGCAAAATTTGTGTATCCATAAAAATTATTTTTGTGGGTTAAAAGGTGCTCCTAGAATACCTTATGTTGGCAGTTTCATGTTCATGAGAAGCGATGTACGAAGTCATTAAAATTAATTAAGTGGTTGTTACAGGTAATAATCTTCGGTTAAGTCTGTTGTCAGCAGCTGCTGTGTAGCCTTGTTGTAAGTGCTTAACTTTAATGAAGAAATAAAGAGATTGAGTGAATGAAGAAAATGGAGACGCTCGATGGTGATGGGAAATACTAACAGGTTGTACAGAGTTCTTTTATGCAATGTATTTTAATCCTTACATTAATAAATCAACATTCTCGGACTTATTCATGGTCATCTGAAAGTATGCTGAACAGAGAGTAATCATACTAACGTCGATAAACACAAAGCTTTTGCATCGTAAAAAAATGTATTTGCTATAAAAGAGTGTAAATCACTCTCAGCTGACCATTCTCATAATGCTCTCTTACTCATTGGGCTAAAACGATTTGAACGCCTTATTTTCTTCTTTTTCTTCAGTTGATGTATTTGTTCTCCCGCAACCACTCTGAAAGTTTTTTGGGCTTAATGTGGCTTTGCACTGCCTCTGTGATCGGTGGGATCACGAAGGCAGTGCAAGATGACGATGCCATGTGGCAATGTCATGTTGTGTGATGCCATCATTGTGTTATGATGACATCACAATTTTTTGTGATCTGTGACGTGATCACGAGAGGGTGATTTTTTTATCTCGCTTGAGCTGACGAGACCGTTGCAGGACACTGACAATCATTTTTTTGCTTTCGATAAAAAAAAAAGCAATCTTTTACTTTAAAATATTGACTATTGTTACAGCACGGTAAGGAAATGTTATAATCAGTCAAAAGGGGCCTAAAGAATGGTGAGAAAGAGTGATCTTCTTCCTCTTCCTGCCCTTTTAGCCGATTTTTTTACATTTACCAAGTTGTGCTGTCAATGTCAAATGAAACACGAACAGCGGAGCCTGTTGCCTAAGCATTAGTAATTGTACAGTGCACGCCATCCTTTCATCACCACTGACAGCTATGCTCACCTGTTGAGGCAGCACTGTGCAAGTGAAAGAATCGCGTGGCTCGCGAGTAGTAGCACTCGTGAATAGGGTGCAAACTGTGCCACATGCGCCACTGCTGGAGTTCCTCTAATACATGTAGCATGTTTTCATTTGCCCCGCCACGGTGGTCTAGTGGCTAAGGTACTCGGCTGCTGACCCGCAGGTCGCGGGATCAAATCCCGGCTGTGGCGGCTGCATTTCCGATGGAGGCGGAAATGTTGTAGGCCCGTGTACTCAGATTTGGGTGCACGTTAAAGAACCCCAGGTGGTCAAAATTTCCGGAGCCCTCCACTACGGCGTTTCTCATAATCATATGGTGGTTTTGGGACGTTAAACCCCACAAATCAATCAATCAAGCATGTTTTCATTTGCTTAAAACTCTCCCTATCCACACTCGTTGTCAACATTAACCAGCTGATTGGTAAACTTTTGTTGGCAAACATTTTATGTACACAAGTCTGCATGACCACAGCTAGGGGTGTAGTGAATTTTTATTCAGCTTAAGTCTGTTTATGCAATGGGAATGTTTGGGAATGAGCACAAAATTTGATCATGCTGCTAACTCAGGTGCAAGATCCTGGCCACAATGACTGTAGGTATATAGAACATGTGCTAAATGTAAACATTTTTTAATCTCATGTAATAGTGGCAGCCATCTATAGAACTATTGCTAAAAAATAATGCAGCCAGTAGTCTAGGAGTGCCATCCAACGTGGGTAAATATAGAGAAAATACTGCTAGCCAAGACCTAGCAGACAACCAACGGCGAATCCTAAAGTTAGTGTCACCTGAGCTCTTAGTGAATTCGTTTATACAGAGTTAGTAAGTGGGGATGTTGCACCAGTGTGATGTTTTTTGGTTTCTGGTTACGCTCTGCATCATCGGGTGTTGCTACCAGCATTTTCCATTTCATACACATCTCCGGTGGCTTGGATGGAACTCCATGCATGTGTTGCTTTCAAGGCATGGCCGCGTTACACCTTTATGTCCCCATCTGTGCAATGTAACAGTCAAATTGTGTTCAGATTTTTTGTCACCACTCTTTTAAAAAAAAAGTGATATTATTGCAGTCTGGATCACCTGCAGTTTTGTCACTGAAATAAACCAGGTTTAGAACCATTTGGTGCATGTACCTAACTCTGGGCTGGCTGCAGATGCGCATGATAACTTTGTGAAATCTATTGAGGTCAGCCTTAGCTTTAAAGGGTGGTCAGGACCATGTTATGTTTTGGTTATTTATTTGTATATACATTAGCCTCGTAGTTTCCAGAGCTTGGACCACTAATTGGGGGGGGGGGGGGTAAGGGGGGTGTTCGGGAAGTGTGAAGAAATGTGTGCAGTGTTTGTCTAGATAAAGGATGCCCTCTTTTTGAAAATTATTAGGCACTGTAAGTGCAACTTATTATTCTAATAAGCAAAGCTTTTTTTATAGCATTGTTGCATACTGATGCAGTTGTGCCGTGCTTACACATTCTTGTCTTTTCCACTTGTAGTGCTTTCCCTCATCTTCAGGCGCCTGGATGATCTGTCGCTGTGGCATTGTAGCCAGGTCTGCCAACGCTGGCGCCAAATCCTCGAGTGCGAACTCACTGAAGATAATTGGTTTGTGTTCACCAAGCATCGTTGGCCTCTCTTCAAGCCTCCTCACAAAGTCACTTCTTGGAGGACCCTTTACAGTCGTCTGTGCGTACCATTTATTTACTGAAAAAAAAAGTGGCTTGCAGTTAATTGATTGCTTCTGCTATGGGGCATCACATGTTGCATTTGTTGGGCATTTACATAAATGCATATCGTAAAATTTTGAGCAAGTGCCCCCCTTCCCCACAAACAAAGTCGAAATTGCCGGCAAAGTGGGGGGGGGGGGGGGGGTGGCGTGCTCTATCTCAGAACGGCACTGAAATTCAAGACGGGAAAATTTTTGCACCAAAAAAAAAAAACAAATGCAGTGCAGATGGATTAAAATTTTAGTTAACTTTATTTAAGGCCAGAATTTATTGTAGCTTTTAATCACTTTTAAAGCCATTGAAAGAGTCCTCCGAATTGGTTCGAAAAAACTGGTTGCAGACTCTTGACAGCCATTATTTTATTTTTTCCGATGTCACCCAGCCGTTTTTTGAGGTGATAAAATGAACATTTGCTACGGATGAAAAAAAAAAAAACATTCTCATTTGGTATGCGAAGGCTCACAAAGGCCCTGGCTGGAATTATCCCGCTTTGCTCTTTGAAGATAATGAAGGTCGGGAGCTTGTGGCCGGTGGCACAAGTGTGAAGCTTCGCCGGGCAGATCTTGTGTTCGCAATCCATATGGTGCTTTCGCCGACCTCATTGTTTCTCCTGTTGGTGGGGCCGTCTATTCACACCATCGTCTAATTCATGTTGGCCATGTTATATTAGGTGTAGCCATTGCGTCGTCGCAACAAGTTCACGGAAGACCGAAAGGCACTTGCTGCCTCCGAAAGCTTCTCGTGTGTTTTCTGGCTCTCGTTTGTAGCGCGGCACATTGCAATGCTGAACTGCTGTTTCCAGTGATTCATGCAATGGCTGAAAGTTACAAAGTTTCCCAACTGCATGCTGTTGGCAATTTGGATGGCCTCTTGGAAAGAATCCAGTTCCTGACGGCATGTCCTGCCCTTCTTTGACGCTCATGGTACTTGAAAAGTGCATCGTCTATGTGTTTGCTGAACACTGGTGTGCCGTTACTGAGCTTCCGTTTGAAGTTATGCCTTCCCATAGTTTAGCTGCAGCATATTATCGAAATTCTTCTCCCATTCCTGTGTCAGCTTCTGGTCGAGCTTGAAATGTCAAGACGTCTGGTCATGTTCTTTCCGTTTTCTCCGTCATCGAATAACCTCAATTTTCTTCGCCACTGTGTAGGGCTGCATAAACATAGCTGGCCTCTCATCTCAAGCACAAAACAACTAATGGCACAGAGCATGCGCAGAGCAATCGGGCTGCACTGCAAAGCAGGATTAAATAGTAGGGGATGAGGGCACTTGCTCGGGATTTTGAGGTACTCACCAAGACTCTCTTGGAATAGCTTCTCATTCCGAGTCTGAGTGAGGTTGCCGACCTGTGCGTAATGTAACCCTAGTAGCAAAAGCAGGTTGCTATTGGAATCAAAGAGTTAAGGAGTCGCCCCCTATGTAACACACCTTGTTCGTGTGCTGTTTAGGTGCCAGGTTTAACATTTGGCCCCGCTCTACTGAAAACACACGGAAGCCCTCCTGGACGTTGCAGTAAATACTTTCAAAACGAGAGAAGGTTTTAGAGTAAAAAAACACAGAATTGTGTTTTGTGCACAGATATTCTTTGTGCATGATTGGTGACGTCGCTAACCATATACATACATATATATATATATATATTATATAATATATAGATATATATATATATGTATGTGTATATATATATAGTATGTATGTGTATATATATATATGTATGTATGTGTATATATATATATGTATGTATGTGTATATATATATGTATGTATGTGTATATACTATTAGGTTAGGTATGTGTATATGATATATATGTATGTATGTGTATTATTATATATATGTATGTGTATGTATGTATATATATGTATGTGTATGTATGTATTATATGTATGTATTGTATGTATATATATGTATATATATATATATGTATGTAGTATTATATATATGTATGTATTATATATATGTATGTATATATATATATGTATGTGTATATATATATATGTATGTATGTATGTATATATATATGTATGTATGTATGTATGTATATATATTTATATATGTATGTATGTATATTTATATAATTTTTTGTGCATATATAGCTAGTGCATGTTCAAGAAAAACCTTTCATGTGAATAACGTACCCACACAGCCTACTCAGAGGCCCATCTTTTTTTCGTGGGAGCTTTTCTGCTGCAAAATTCTAAAAAAAAAAAGGAGTCCAAGCGGGCTTTCAAGAACAATTGAACCTTTATTATCAACATATATCAAGCCTAAGATGCACATAAATCACAGTCTGCAGCCGCGATTGTGAAAGTGTGTGTGTACAAAGTCTTGCAAGATTTTAGTGTTCAATGCCCTTTCGCCCTCAAGTGCGAAGACTTCGTAGGCGGCAGCAATTGCTTCTTTGAGGGTAGATTAAATTATTAGCAACAAACCCTACTTGGCGTGTTTATGCCAATGTTATTGTAGTTACCACAATACGTACATATAGACAAGCACAGGATGAAAACTAATGGGTGTAGCACATGCTTCTAAAAAAGGTGTACAGGCACTGACCAGGTGTTCGTCTAATAGCAAGGAATATGCGAGCAAATGAAAAGCTGGAAACATGCCACGTATCAGCAGGGCTTATACAAATTATAGACAATAATTAACGTGTACTAAGAACAGATAAATGTCTGATATGAGGCGTAAAGAGCAGGTATGTAACACGAGGCCTTATCTGTGCCATGCGAGTGAGTGGGGTTGCTGCTGCCTGCCGTTGTAATCTCTGCTGAAAACATTGGTGGGCTCATGCTGCGTTTCGGTGTTTCTTGTATAAAAGTCATCCTTTGTAACTTCACGTTAAAGCAGTGAAGAGGAAACTTGGGATAGGCAAAAATCGGATGTATGCACTAAGGGACAAAGAAGGCAAAATAACTACCAATATGGATAGGATAGCTAAATAACGGAGGAGTTTTACAGAGATCTGTACAGTAGCCGGGACAACCACGACGTTAATACTATAAGAACTAGCAGTAACCCAGATGACATCCCACCAGTAATGATAGAAGTAGTCAGAAAAGGTTTGGAGAGCATGCAAAGAGGCAAAGCTGCTGGTGAGGATTGGGTAACATCAGATCTTCTGAAAGATCGAGGACAGATTGTGTTAGAAAAACTAGCCACCCTGTTTACGAGGTGTCTCCTGACGGGAAGAGTACCAGAGTCTTGGAAGAATGCTAACATCATCTTAATACATAAGAAAGGAGATGACAAGGACTTGAAGAATTACAGGCCGATCGGCGCTCTCTCTGAAGTATACAAGCTATATACAAATTTAATTGCTAACAGAGTAAAGAAAACATTAGAATTCAATCAACCAAAGGAAAAAGCAGGATTTCGAACAGGCTACTCAACAATCTACCACATTCATACTATCAATCAGGTAATAGAGAAATGCTCAGAATATAACCAACCACTATACATAGCCTTCATAGATTACGAGAAGGCGTCTGATTCAGTAGAAATATCAGCCGTCGTACAGACACTGCGGAATCAGGGCGTCGATGAAGTATATATAAACATCCTGGAAGAAATCTACAGGGGATCAACTACTATCATAGTGCTTCATAAAGAAAGCAACAGAATACCAATCAAGAAGGGCGTAAGGCAGGAGGACACAATCTCCCCAATGCTATTTACCGCGTGCTTACAGGAGGTTTTCAGAAGCCTAGAATGGGACCAGTTAGGGATAAGTGTTAATGGAGAGTACCTTAGTAACCTGCACTTCGCCGATGACATTGCATTGCTGAGTAACTCGGGGGACGAATTGCAACTCATGATTACGGAGTTAGACAAGGAGAGCAGAAAGGTGGGTCTTAAAATTAATCTGCCTCGGAAAAGAGCAGCGCTTCGACATAGGTAATAGTGCACTTCAATTTGTAAAAGACTATGTCTACTTAGGGCAGGTAATAACCGCGGAGCCGAACCATGAGATTGAAGTAACTAGAAGAATAAGAATGGGGTGAAGCACATTTGGCAAGCACTCTGAAATTATGACAGGTAGATTTCCACTATCCCTCAAGAGAAAAGTATATAACAGCTGTATCTTGCCGGTACTTAGCTACAGAGCAGAAGCCTGGAGACTTACAAAAAGGGTTCAGCTTAAATTGAGGACGACGCAGCGAGCAATGGAAAGAAAAATGGTAGGTGTAACCTTAAGAGGCAAGAAGAGAGCATAGTGAATTAGGGAACAAACGAGGGTTAAGGATATCATAGTTGAAATAAAGAAGAGGGAATGGACATGGGACGGGCATGTAGTGCGTAGACAGGATAACCGCTGGTCATTAAGGCTAACTACCTGGATTCCCAGAGAAGGCAAGCGGGTTAGGGGGAGACAGAAGGTTAGGTGGGCAGATGAGATTAAGAAGTTTGCGGGTGTAAATTGGCAGCAGCAAGCACAGGACCGTGTTAACTGGCGGAACATGGGAGAGGCCTTTGTCCTGCAGTGGACGTAGTCGATGACGAAGATTGTAACTTCACATGGTGCTGTTGATGTCCACACGAGCGCACTTCAGAAAAAAAAAAAAATCTGCCTTCTGCCGATTCTGAGACCGGCTCAGCGTACATACGTTCGACGCGACACGAACACCTTCCTTTCCCCTGTTCCTTCCCTCAGTGCGCGCCGCTGGTAAAGCAGGTTTCGGAACAATAGGCACGATGGCATGGTTAGCATGACGTGTGCGTTTGAGGAATCTGAGCAACTGCGGGGCGCCACTTGTTGAGAAGTGCTGAGGCTGGCGCATGGAAGTTTGCCTACTTGATGACTGAAATGACGAGCTCATTCCGTATTTTTGTCAGTTCACATGCGATAATAATAACACTAAATACATTGTTTCTTATAACATACGATACACATATTGAGTCAACTGATTGTTTTGCCTCAGGTAGCAAAATTATTTGGCATCCTGGGATCAAATGCTGTGT